ATATATAGATATATAGATATATAGATAGATATATATATATATAGATAGATATATATATAGATAGATATATATAGATAGATCTAGATATATATATCTATAGATAGATAGATCTAGATATATATAGATATAGATATAGATATATATATATATAGAGATATATATATATATAGAGATATATATATATATAGATATATATATATATATAGATATATATATATATAGATATAGATATATAGATATATAGATAGATAGATATATGTTTCTTACTACTGAGCACAGTCGATCAGCTGATATTCGTTGGATCGTTCTAAACACGCTTTCACTCCGTCGTCCTCCCAAAGCTTCTGAGTGTGTTCAAAGAACTCCTGAGGGACACAAGTCACATGATGCAGGTGAGTGAGGCGTCCTCTGCTTGGACAGCAGCGTGTGTGAATCGACCAATCAGAAGCAGAGAAAATAGAACGGCTGAAGGAGTTGAGAGGAGATGCTTGTTTTGTGTCTTTGTGTCTTTAGAGACACACTGTGTGAGGATAATGAGGCCTCAGGTGAGACACACACACACACACACACACACACACACACAGTCCCACATCAACTCGTTACATCATGTCATTAACATCATTAAAACAAACATGTTGTCTCCTGGTTCTCTTAAAGGGACACGTCCCATTTTATTCAGATAACCTGCTGAGGACGGAGACGTTTGATTGGTCGCATTCTAATAAACAAACACCTTTTGTTTTGATCTGTTTCTACTGTTAGCATTAGCAGCTTTAGCTCCTTTCAAGACTCATAGGTTCTGAACATCTGTGTGTGTACCTCTGTGTATTCAAAGTCAGACAGCGGTGCGATGCTCTTGATGTAGTCAAGTCTGAACTGGTTGCCAGGGTTACCCAGTGGAATGGGCGGAGTCAAGGTACTCATGGCAGCTATGATGGTCTGAAACACACACACACACGCACACACACACGCACACACATATGAACCAACACAGGACTGCTTTAACTTTGGACCGATCAGAGGCTCAGTGGGTCATGTGACGCACCACGATGGCGTCCTTCACATTCTTCCTGATGTCCTGAACCTTCTGCTGCTTCTCTCTGGAAGACAAACAGAGTTTCTTCTTCAACTTAAAAGCGTCTAAATGTTTTTCATCAGGTGGAAGGACACGTTAACAGAAAGCTGATGATGGTCATTAATCAATCATCATCACAAACTACAGAAAACTGATTTAGAACTACAAAAAAAACACAATATAATTATACCGTCTCAATGAAAATAAAAAGCTCATCTCTACAGGAAGTACTGGTGCCAGAGGGGATTTCAAAATAAAAGTTGATGAAGTTTTTAAAATTTGACTCACTCAGTGTTGAAACCGTCAACATGAAGAATCCTCATCTGCTTCACGATGGTGCTTTTACCTGATTCTCCTGCTCCTACAGACACACAGGCGAGACACACAGGTGAGACACAAGGGCGAGACGGACAGGCGTGACGCACAGGCGAGACGCACAGGCGAGACGGACAGGCGAGAGAGGGACAGACAGACAGACCGGTATCTCACCTAGCAGTAATAGTCTATGTGTAGCTTTATAAGCCTGTCTCTCTTTCTGCAGCTGTCTCTCGATCTTCTTGTTGGCTTCTCTCTTCGCTTTTTCATCCAGTCGTTCTTCCTCCGTCTTCCCTCCCAGACAGCCCATCTCAACTGGAACCACAGAAACCAGTGAATGACCACAGAAACCAGTGAATAACAACATTAAAACACAGTTAATAGTTAAATATTTATTTCATATGATACAAAAAATAAACTTTCTACTTTTGATTGAATTCAATCAAACACGCTAACGTTAGCTCGCTAACTAGCTAGCGGTGCTATGAATGTGATGCTACAGAGGTTACTGATAGACTGAGAGGAGGTCTGAAGGGTATCAGGTCTCTGGAGTCCACCATGTGGTCCTCTGCTGCTCTCTCCTCACGATGGAGCGCTGAACTAGTTTCACTCTTTTATAGAGTATTTATTCTACTTTAACATCTTGTGTTGCAGATAAAAAACATTAAGAACTAAGATGACAAAAAAAATAATTATCACAAAACTGAAGATAATGTATTTTTATTTCTTCATCGCAATAAAAAGGATCTGAATACTTTCCCAGTACACCCGTCAGTCCTGGTCTTACCTGTAGCCGTTGATGTCTCAGCAGGTCCAGATCAGAGCGTCTCTCTCTGTCCGTCCATCAAAGTCCAAAGAGACAGAAAACAGCTCCTCAACCAATCAGCACCCAGACCAGTTCACAGGTCCAGTTCCCTATTGTGTAACACAGAGTCTCTCTCTCTCTCTCTCTCTCTCTCTCTCTCTCTCTCTCTCTCTCTGGGATTTGTCTGTTGTTCCTCCGCTGTCAGTTTGTTTCATGACAACCAAGAAGCTGGATTCACAAACTCCTCTAAAAGGTTGGTCCTGGTTTCCAGTCAGAGTCAGACCAGGACTGACTCTAGACCGGCTGGTTCAGAGGTCTCATCTGAACACTTATTATTTTTAATGTGTCCATATCTATATTTACAAATCATTGACTTTGTTCACTTTGTTTTTATTCTTCAGAGAATTAAACTGATCCTGGAACTCAAAAAATAAACACTAAATGTGCTGAAATGTAAACGAAGAACAAACAGACTCTTGGACGAGCTCTCCTCCTCCTCCCTCATTGGTTGGACTCTTCACTCTCCAAAGACCTCAACCTGAAGGCGACAAAAAGCCAGATCCAGAAGGTCTGAACAGGTTTCAAACCAGATCCAAGCTGAAGGTGATCCAGATCACATCAGATCCACCAGACCTCTATCAGACCAGGACTGACCCAGACTCACCTGTGCAGGTGTTCATCACAGAAGGATCCCAGTCGCTGCATCTCAGACTGGAAGAAACTCTGTAGGAAAAAGAGGGAATATCAAATATTAAAACATTTAAGTGAACAAAGTTGAGTACTAGTATAAATAGTAGTACTACTAGTAGTATCTGTTAGTACCAGGATCTGTGTGTTCATGCTGTTCAGGCTGGTCGAGTTCTCATGAAGTCGGTTCAGCTGATCACTGACGCTGTTCTCAAACCTCTGCAGCAACACTAACCTACACACACACACACACACACACACACACACACACGGTACCTGTGTTGACGGACAGGTGTGTGGAGTGGGCGGTACCCGTGTTGACGGACAGGTGTGTGGAGTGGGCGGTACCCGTGTTGACGGACAGGTGTGTGGAGTGGGCGGTACCCGTGATGACGGACAGGTGTGTGGAGTGGGCGGTACCGGTGTTGACGGACAGGTGTGTGGAGTGGGCGGTACCTGTGTTGACGGACAGGTGTGTGGAGTGGGCGGTACCTGTGATGACGGACAGGTGTGTGGAGTGGGCGGTACCTGTGTTGATGGACAGCTGTCAGCAGTGAGGAGACGTGTTGTTGACACTCTTTTAAAGACAGAAGAATATCAGCTTCAACGTTCTGCCAGCAGCCCTGAAAACAATTCATAATACAAGTTTTTATTGATTGACCATTGAAGCTATTGATCAAATATCAATAACAGTATTTAACGGTTTGTGCACTGACAGTCAAGTGTTTGTTGAGTTGTGTTTTGAAGGTGTTGAAGGCAGCTGTGATGCCAGGCGTCGGGTCTGACTCCACCACAGGCTCCTCCCTCTCGACAGATGGTCCCGCCCCTGTATCAGACAGCTCCTCCTCCTCTGGTGGCTCCGCCCCCTCGTGTGGAGACTCTGAGACCAGGTGAGCAGCAGATTTATTAAACAATTCAAACATTGAGGCCAGTTTGAGAAAAGCATTAAAGACAAAACTACCTGCCGGTAGTGACTTAGTCATCTCCCCTTCCGGCTGAGGCTCCGCCCTCCTCTTCTGGGCCAGTGGACCCTCATTGTGGTCTGACAGGTAACCTTCACATAGAGAAACCAAACAGTCCGGAGTAAATACCATCTCTAATATGAAGCCTCATCACCTTAAGTCTGAAACAGATTATTATAGAGTTCTGTGAGGGTTTAGATCATCCAGAGACCTGAATCTGGAGCGGCTCTCTTCCCGTCACAACTCAAGACTTCCTGGAACAACAAACAGGAAACAGGTGAAACACAGCAGACAGTTGATGATTTTAAAAGAGAAACAGAAGAACTAATGTACCTTTATATTTCCTCCAAACTCCTCCCTCTGTTCCTGAGAGACCTCTTGCTCCGCCCCCACAGTAACCCCTGAGAGACAGACAGGTTCAACCAACAGTCTCACTGATCTCCAGTTAAAACCTGTTTTTGATTCGGTTCATGGTCCACTCAAGGTGAAAGGACCTGAAGTATCTGAGTGTCAGTCATGATAAGAATCCTCTAAAGCAGGGGTCTTCAACATTTTTCAGGCCAAGGACCCCCAATCTGATAGAGAGATGGAGCAGGAACCCCCGGCTATATATATTGTATAACATTGTGTTTTATATTAAACTGGGCCTAGTGCCATGTATAAACATACCTCTTTATTGTGCATTCAATACTAAGCTATTTAAATAATACACAGGTTCATATATTCATGTTTTTATTTTAAACATGTGCAAGGTACAGTGAGTAGGGAGGCCGTGCACTGCCATGTATAAACATACCTTGTCAACTGATACCAATGCCAATATCAATATTGTCTGTCAATTGCATGATAATCATCATACAAGCTATTCAAATAGATGTTTTCATTTTATACATAAATGTGGAAACATAAGCGAGTGATGGCCTGTTAGTGCCACTGCCATGCATAAACATACCTGTTATCTTTCATACAATACTGAACTATTACAATAATGGACACATTCATGTTTTGAAAAAAATAAAAAATAATAATTGTCTAATCAACCAAAAAATTTACGGACCACCTGCAGTACCTCTGCAGATGCCCTAGTGGTCACGGACCCCTTGTTGAAGACCTCTGCTCTAAAACATAAGTAAAGGTGCTTCAGTACTTCCTTTCTTATCTAGTTTAGCAAAAGAGGCACTGGACCATCCTTTACCAAAGGAAAGGAGACCCTGGACCTTCCTTTACCAAAGGAAACGAGACCCTGGACCTTCCTTTACCAAAGGAAAGGAGACCCTGGACCTTCCTTTAACAAAGGAAAGGAGACCCTGGACCTTCCTTTACCAAAGGAAAGGAGACCCTGGACCTTCCTTTAACAAAGGAAACGAGACGGACTGACCTGAGTCGCGTGTTGGAGTCGAGTGTCGGTCTGATCTGATCTCATCAAACAGAAACTCTGATCTGCTCACTGAAGTCTGAAAACAACAAACAATCAATTAAAGTCTAAACTTCCTGTTTTTATTGACAGCTGATGATTTTACTGAGAAGTTACCTTAAAGGCAGAAGAGTCTTCCTCACTGCTAGGAGACGACAGAGGAAGAACTAGACAGACAGACAGACAGACAGACAGACAGACAGACAGACAGACAGACAGACGAGTAGACAGACAGAGAGACAGGTAGAGAGTTTTTTGGTTTTACATTTGTATTTTATTTATAATTATTATTACAGACTGAAGGAGTTGATTGAGTCTTTATTAAACACACTCACCCTTCAGCTGACTCTTGCTCTGTGGTTTCTTCCTGCTGTAGGATCGACCATGGACCGTACCACCTGTGTCCTTCAGACGGGGGGGAACTCTGGACCATCTGTTCATACAGGGAGACACAGACAGACAGACAGACAGAAGGACACAGAGACAGGTAGTCAGAGAGAGAGTCAGTCAGACAGACAGAAGGACAGTCACACAGACAGACAGACAGACAGACAGACAGGTACCATGAAGACCTTCCCAGCAGCCTCCTCCAGGTCTCGGTGGTGTTCAGAGCTGAAGTTCAGCTCCACTGTCTGACCTCTGCTGTTGTGGTGCATGATGGGATTGTTCAGCCTAACACTGAGGACTGTCTCTGTCCCAGTGCATTCTGGGAAAACACACACACACACACACACACACACACACACACACACACACACACAGTTTTACTGATAAGAACCCGATCAGAAGTATCAATCAATCATTAGAAACATGTTAATGAGGACTGACCGTCATGTTTCAGGTGAAGACTGTAACGAACCACGTCCTCCTTCAGCAGGTGGATCGACCCCCACAGGAAACCCTGAGACATCAAGACACAGAGACAGGTCTCACAAGACCAGAACAGAGACGGGTCTAACAAGACCAGAACAGAGACAGTTCTAACAAGACCAGAACAGAGACAGGTCTAACAAGACCAGAACAGAGACAGGTCTAACAAGACCAGAACAGAGACAGGTCTAACAAGACCAGAACAGAGACAGGTCTAACAAGACAAGTCTATATATATATACTGTAGTACCAGTACTAGTGCGGTAGTACCTGAGGCTCATTGATGAAGAAGCTCACACATCCTGAGCTCACGTTAAAATCAATCCAGAACTCGTCCAGTTTTTCGTCTTTTGGTGGAAACAGCTGTAGAAGAAGAAACATGAAGTAAACAAGACGTCTGCAGAGATCTGGTTTATACTTTAAAGGGTTAAATGTTTTTACCTCAGTGGAGTCGAGGAACGCTCTGACACAGGGGAAGGTGTACACCCTGACAGACAGAACGCAGGTTTAAAAATCCCCAAGATGAAGAGTTTTTAGATTCATTACAATGATAAAGTTCTTCACCTCCTCTGGTCACCATGGTGATCATTAACAAAGTTCAGGAAACGTCGACAGTCCTGGAGAGAGAGAGAGAAAGAGACGGGTCGGAGAGACAGGTGAACAAACCAAACATACTCCGAGTGTCCAGAAGGATGGGAGAAAAAAATGTCCACATCCACAGAAACAATCAAAGCTTGATAACTCTTATAGTTAGGGCCGGTTCAGGTTTATAGTTAGGGCCGGTTCAGGTTTATAGTTAGGGCCGGTTCAGGTTTATAGTTAGGGCTACAAGTAGAGAGGCAGACAGGTCAGAAAGAAAGACAGGAAGAGAGACAAACAGGTGTTCAAACAGACAGGTCAATCACTCACCACTTCAAAGTCTGCGTCTCTGATGTCACAGAACGCACTGCTGATGTCATGGCTGGAGAACCACTGATTGGCTTTCTGATCTCGGTCCTTCCTGGGAGTCAGACGACACAAAGCCTCTGATAGGCTGACCTGCAGCTCGTAGTCTACAACAGCACCAATGAAAACAGAGCTTCAGACACCTGGAGAATTTAAACATGTCCCTCACTACACTGCTTCGATTGCATCAACTTTAATGTCACACTTAAACTATAATGTAAGAACTTACCTCCAACTGTCAGAACTGCTGCTGCCACCTGAGATCTGTGAGACAGAGAGGTAAAAAGACATTGTGTACAATGTGTACTGGGTGTGTACTACAGTGTGTACTGGGTGTGTATTACAGTATTAGGGTCTGGTTCTGGTCGATCTGGATCAGTTTCTTCTGCTCGCGGCTCAGAGACTCCAGGATGCTGTTAAATGTTCGGATGGCCTGAAACAAGAAAACGTTCTAGATGCCAGACCAGTACAGACCAGTATGATTGAATTTTGGTTTGGTTTCCATGGTTACCTCAAGTCTCAGTGGAAAGTGGATTTCTGGTTCCAGAGCTAACCGAGCCAGCTGAAGGAGAACCACAGACAGCTGACTGACTAAGAGACAGACGGGTACAGAGACAGACAGGTAGCGAGACAGACAGGTGAGTCCAACATGTGACACAAAAGGAATAATATCTGAAGATTAAAGACACAAAATGAGGAAACAAACCTGGAATAGAAGCCTGACCCAGCAGCTGACAGACAGACAGACAGACAGTTATTGGTGATTTTAGCACACAAATAAAACGTTTTATTGTAGTGTTGTGTAGTAAAGTAACTACACAATACACACACACGGGATCATGTGACTAAAGCAATGCTGGCCTCCATTTCCCAGCATGCTCCTCACCTGAAAGTAGTCATAAAACTCCTCAGTGAGGCTCAGCAGGGAGGCGGAGCTCCTCAGGAGGTCAGAGGTCAGAAGGTCATGGACGGCTTCGAACCACAACACCACCTAAACAAACAAACAAACACACAAACAAACTGATGATCGGGTCCAATACTCCAGGTACAGATTACTTTATTTATGTATTACTAATTATTGAATTATGTTCATTTTATTTGATTAGCTACTTTTAGTGGATAATCAAATAATCAGATTACAAATTATTTTACAATGAGAATATTACTCCGATTGCTTTCCTAGATTACAGAGTAACAGATTACTTTAGCAGTCAGTCCGTGGTCGATGAGTATCTGCAGATGGACTCTGTTCTCTGATAGAACCTCTAAAGACTTCAACACGACCAGGACTCTGGAGAAACCGGATCCACACAGATCCTGAAACCAAACAACAAACAATAAACAGAAGAGGAAATAAAACCAGCGCAGATTAAAAAGTTGCTGACATGACATGAATGTGGAGTTTAAAATCTGGAGCTGTTGTCTTGGCAGCAAATTAAATGTAACCTGCTAAAGTGCAAGGAACCTTTGAACGAAGGAACCTTTAAACGAAGGAACCTTTGAACGAAGGAACCTTTGAGAGAGGAACCACACCCGGGACCATGGCCACGGTGTCCCGTTACCTTGGTGACCAGCTGGTCCAGTCTGGTGAGCGTGATGTCACTGAGACCTTCATCCTGAAGAACTGAGACCAGATCAGAGGAGTCTCCACGGAGGAGACAGTCCTCTATTTTCACCTCCATCTGAGACAGACAGACAGACAGACAGACAGACAGACAGACAGACAGACAGACAGACAGACAGACAGACAGACAGACAGACACACTAATAATGAATAGAAATAAAGTTTTACAAACGTATCTAAATATTGTCAATAAACTAAATCAGCCACAAAAACTTATTTCTGGTTATTTCATCTCTTCTATTATTAAAATCCAGCAGCAGGAGATTTATTTTGGTGAGCCACTTCCGGCGGACAGCCAGCAGGGGGCGCTGCAGACTACTGTGTGACAGACCAGGGGTGGACAAAATAACAGAAACATCTGCAGGTCCCGCATGAAGTGAACGTGAGCACATTTACACTCGGATCGGATTACGTCATTAAAATGACGAAACTTCTCTTCTTTGGTTTCATATCTAAATGAACAGAATTATCATGACGACACATTTCCGGATCAATAATCAATAATGTTGTACAGCTGACTCTGCAACAATAATCAAAGAATCAATAATCAGATTATTTACCATCGCGTCTCTTCTCTCAGCGTGTCGGGAGCGCGCACAGCTGCTGCTAATTAACTCATTAGAGTCGAGAACGCGCAGGTGCAGAGTGAAAAAATAGTCCCGACGCAGCGGAGGAATATCAGCTTCATTTAGACCAAAACCAGAGAAATAAAAGAGATGAAAAGAATATTCATGAATCAATTCAATAAATCAGATGCAAAGAATAAATTATAAACCTCTTCTTTGAAACACTAACGTCATAAATGTTAAACTAATTCACATAGTTCATTTTATTCAAACAGGTCAAAGTTTTATTGAATTAAAATCTATTTTAATGTATTATTATTAAAGACAGACAGACAGAGAGACAGACAGAGACAGACAGACAGA